CACAACCATGTTTTGTTCTTTGTAGATTGCACGAATGAAGATTCTCCAATCTTTCTCTAACCAACGTTTGGCTTCCTCAATGATCTCTCTAGTAGGTCCCCGAAGTGTGGCGTTGGTGTGAATCGGCTCCACGATCATCTTTGCATCTTTGCAAGTAAATGTGCACTCGTAGATAATTAAAAAAAAATGCACTCGAAGACAAAAAATATTCACATGAAGCAATAAATAAATGACATTGATTATTTTTTGTTTTTTTTTAGCAATTTTTCTTTTGAATTAACATAGTTCAGGATAACGTGCACTTGAAGAAACAAAATGGTACACTCGAATGCTAAAAATGTTGACTGGAGCCTAAAACTAAGAGGCATTTACTGTTTTTTAAGACTTTCTCTTTTAAATCATATATATTTCATTATTAAATATACATTGAGTAATGAAAAATACACTTGTAGGTAGGAAAATGTGGACTTGTAGGCAGAAAAATGTGTAATTGAAGGCAACAAAAAAGGAAACACTAGAAGACAAAAAAATGTTCACTAGAAGGCAAATTTCGAAGGCAAGTAAATGTGCCCTCGAAGGCCAAAAAATGTACACTTGAAGGAATAAATAAATGACTTTGGTTTTTTAATAGCTTTTTAAAGCAATTTTTATTTTGAATTGATATAGTTCATTATAGTATGCACTTGAAGGAACAAAATGTTGTTGCGGTTGCACGACGTTCTCCTCGAAAACCATAGTTACTATGGTTGCTGCTCTGTAGTTGCGCACACAATTTCTTCACGCTTGAAGTCATCTTATTCCCCTTGCCTCAGAGAAGTCAAGATGTTCAAAATCTTTAAAAACCTTGGAAGATAGGTTACGCTATTTATAGAGTGGAGACGGGTAGTGGAGGTGAGCGCGATGTAGTGGAGAGAATGGAGAAAGCCGATAAGAAAGACGTTAGCGCTGCTGTGTTTGAATTTCGTCCTTTGTTTTTTACACTTTTACCCCTCAAATGAGGGGAACTTGACAATTAAGTTCAACTTAATTACAATAATACCACCACCTATCTCTTCACAATCCTTCTATATATTAAAGCCATATAGCCATGGCCAATCAAATTGTCCCAAATTCCCGCCTAAATGAAACTACGGCGTTTTGTTAATTCAGTTAAACTATTGGTTTTAAAAAATTTGAGACTTCGTATACCGATAGACCCCTTAATTAAAATAAAGTGGTTTGCTCCTTGGAAGCTGATCCATATCAGAAACTTAATAACAGCAGCCAAAAAATAAATTAAAATTTTAATGTTTCTACATTTTTTAATATAAGAAAACATAATAGAACCAGATTTGAACTCTACTTTATGGCTGATCAGAAAACGTTTCAATCTTCGGTGCAACATAATCATTCAGCTTCATTAATATTTCCTCCTTCGAGATACCCACTGGCATAATCATCCTTCTATAAATACTATAGAATAGCAAACATCACTCTCACCTTCTGCTTCTTCAATCTAAATCTCATGTTCTTGGTTAAAATGGGATCTTTTTTTATATTGGCCAAAGATATCAACACAGATACCTACACAAAAGCCATTAGGCTTAGATTAGTTCGAAGTTATGATGTCCATGAAGGGAGAAATACGAATATTATTAAAAGTCAAGAGATGTTTTTTCACGATTCAGAGGTAAGCTTTTGAATGTTGTAATACATATTAGTACTAGTAATTCACCCGCGCGATGCACGAAAAAAAATTATGTTATTATAAATATAAATAAAAAGTATAAAAACTAAAATATTTTAAATTGTTTAATATAATAATATTTTTGAGCTTCCATTGGTCAAGTATTTATTATTTTTATAGAATACAAAATTAAAATTAAAATTAAAATTAAAATTTTGTATGGTTAATATAATCTCTAATTATGTACATATTCAAATAAACTTATAAAGAGAATTTACATAATTACATTGATTTATTCTTAATTGTATTTCATCTATATTATAATTTTCACAATACTAATAATAACTAAGATAATTACATTTGGAAATCAAATTTCAAATTTTGTATGAGTAAATTTAAACTCTAATTGAACACATTTTTTATATGATTATATAATATATAGCTATTTTATTTTTCAAAAGTACATTTTTTATATGATTATATAATATATAGCTATTTTATTTTTCAAATGTTGTGCTTTTTTTTTTTTTTTTTTTTTTTAATAAAGGATGTTGTGGCATTAATTGTAACATTAATTACTTCCCAACCATATAGCTTTATTATAGTTAAGATTTACAGTTTCTACTAATCAGTTTTACATTAATTTTTTATTATTTATTTTTGGTTTCTAGGGAACTTATCTCCATTGCAACATCCCAAAGGAATACTTGGATAAGTTCTCAAATCAATTCACAGAAGGGAAAGTTTATTGTATCAAAAACTTTTTGGTAATCTCTAATTATTATCAGTACAAGCTTACTCCTGACAAATACATGATTAAGTTGAACCATTCAACTATTGTTCAAAGACACCGTAGGAAAGGCTTTGCTAAGTGTATGTTCAACCATTCAACTACTGTTCAAAGACACCGCAGTTTTGATGATATTCTAGGCAGAATTATTCCTGAGAAATTATTATTCGGTTAGTAAACAATACTTTTTCTTTACACTATAAACTCCTGATTAGTTTATGTTTAATTCTTCAATCTATAGGTTTTTGGTTTTTTAAACTCTAAAGTCAATGTTTGTTGTCAAATATTTCTTCTAGATGTCATTGACAGGGTTGTTGAGTTTTATCCTCTAAAGTCAATTACTATAGGAGGTTATCCATCAAAGCTGGTGGATTTTATTATTGAAGACTCCAAGTAAGTTCAGAAATTTTAAATTCTTGATTCAATACATTACAAAGAATAAACATTTTTTTAACATGATATTATCCACTATTTTAGGAACAATAGGATTAAATGCACAATATGAGATTCACATGTGGATGATGTATTGCCCTATTTTACTGACAATGTTGATGGCCCTATAATTATTCTGTTGCAAATGTGTAGAGCAAATCACTTAGACAGTAAGTTTCATCTCCTTATAATAATTATTTTATACACATTGCCTAACCTAAAATAAACATCTAACAAATTATTTCTTTATTTCAGCTGAAGTCAGAATATCAAGTTCATATAATGCAACCAAGGTTTGCATAAATCATGATTGTCCAGAGTTTGAAGTATTCAAGGCTAGGTAAATTTTACTTTTCCATCAATGACTATTTTATTTTATTTAACTATCTGACCATTGAAACTTTTTCCAGTTTGAAGGATCATCAAACTCCTATTAGGAGTATGACAAATGTTTCAACATTTTCATACCCTAACAGTCAGGAATATTCTAGCAAGAGACCTATGATTGTCAGCACCATAGCTGAAATTTATAAGAGGGCTGAGGTAATAATCATTATAGTCTCTTAGTTGTATCCAAATAATATTTTTAGATTCCTATTTGGATCATTTAACTCTCTGTTCTATTTGACTAAAATACAATAGCCAGGCTATTACCATGTTCCTGCAAAAATCAATGGATTGGAGAGCGCCAGTAAATGATACTACTATTCTTGCAAGAAAGAAGGATGTTTTAGAAAACTTGACCAGAAAAAGGCATTACTATGGTGTGACACATGCAAAATTAGTTGGCAACTAGGAATTCCTAGGTACAGGTTGGGTGTTAGAGTTGGTGACAAGTCTGGGGATGCACCTTTTGTGCTATGGGATAATGAATTTGCTGAGTTATTAAGATTGAGTGCTTATGATCTCAGAAACAAATACTTGGAGGTTGGAGATTTTTTTATCAACCTATATATTCTACTCTAGGCTTTAATAGTTAACACATTCAAAATTCTAAAAAATTTAACTCTGATTCTAATTTGCAGGATCCTACTCAGATTCCAACAGAATTTGATTCTCTCAAAGGCAAAGCTATGGTTTTTAAAGTATCAGTAAAGAATGACCACATTAAAAACCCTTTCTTAGCTATTCCTGTGGTGAACATAACCCATGATGATGACTTGGTGGCAGCACACTGTACTCACGGGAAAATAAAGTTGCCTACTAAACCAACTCCACCTCCTGCTATATTTGATTTGTTTTTTTAAGAATGACAACAAGAGTTGTCATTTTTTACAAAATATTAAGTCCTACAACAATATGTTTTGCTTCACTTCAATGGGTGGGAAAATTGATAGGACTTTGAATAATGGTACTGCACCACCCGTTTTCTGCTTACACGGTCAAAATTTTCACCTTTTGGAAAGCCTAATGCCAGAATTTGGCTCTAGACCGAAGTTTGCTCAATTGTACATTTATGATACTCAAAACGAAATCCAAAATTGCATCAATGCAATAAGGTACGTCAATTACATTATATATATAAATCAAATTCATTAGTTTTTACTGCAATATGCTAATTAAATATATTTTGTGATCAATATACAGAGAAGATGATGTTCACAATAAACTACATGCGGATATAGTACAAGACATAAAAGACGCATTAGATCAAAACAATGTCTTAGTAAAAAGTTTTCGCATGGCAAGAACAGAGATTGAAACAAATCCAATGGTAGAGATTAAGATCAAACTAATAGGAAAGAGGAATAAGGATGCCCGAACATATAATTTACCACAAATTAGTGAAGTTGCGGCTTTGATAGTGGGAGACTTTGATCCAAATATGGGATAACGTGATATCTTGGTGGAATCAAGATCTGGTATTTTAAAAAGGATTAATGAATTAAACCCAGCCTATCTACCACTATAGTACCCATTGCTATTTCCATTTGGTGAAGACGGATATAGAGAGGACATTCAATTCTCAGGTGTTGAACAACAAAGCCGACCTGGTCGTATTAGGATTAGTCCTAGAGAATACTTCTATTATATTCAAGATAGGAAAAATGAGATGTCAACATTGTTGTTCGCAAGAAGGTTGTTACAACAATTCTTGTAGATGCATACACTATGATTGAATCTGGATGTTTAGTATATGTTAGGACCCACCAAAGATCATTGAGATGTGAGTCTTATAAATGCTTGACAGATGCTTTGACTCGTGGTGAACTTGATCCATCGGCTCAAGGTCGTAGAATTATTTTGCCTTCAACTTTTACAGGTGGTGCAAGGTATATGGTGCAAAATTACCAGGATGCGATGGCAATATGCCGATGGATTGGATATCCAAATCTGTTTATTACATTCACATGTAACCCAAACTGGCCGGAAATTGTAAAGTTTTTGAAAGAAAGGAGATTAAAGGCCGAAGATCGGCCAGATATAATATGTCGTGTCTTTAAGATGAAGTTAAATGCTCTAATCAAGGAGATTCGTAAAGAAAACATCTTTGGTTCTGTTCTAGCAGGTAAATATTTTATATGTTAAAGTTTTAATAATTATTTGTTTATTACCAAGTACTTTGATCTAGATTTCAAAGTACTAAATGTATTAATGATTTGTTTTTGTAGTGATTTATACCATTGAATTTCAGAAAAGAGGTTTACCGCATGCACACATATTGTTGTTTCTGGCAAATCATCGTGGGTCTGGTGCTGCAACAGATTTAGACAAATTCATTTCAGCAGATATTCCAAGTGAGTTGTGCGATCTTGAGTATCACAAAGCAGTGGGAGAATTTATGATGCACGGACCGTGTGGTACGTGTAGGAAGAATTCACCATGCATGGTTAATGGTAGATGCTCCAAATATTATCCAAAGAAATTTGTGGAGAAATCAACAATGGATGAAGAGGGTTATCCTGTGTATCGTAGGAGTGACAACGGTAGGACTATAAAGAAAAATGGTATTGATCTAGATAGCAGATATGTCGTTCCACACAACAGACATTTATTGGTGAAGTATAGGGCTCATATAAATGTGGAGTGGTGCAATCAATCCAGATCAATTAAGTACTTATTTAAGTATGTGAACAAGGGGAATGATCGTGTTACTGCTGAATTCTACAACAGTGTGGCTGATGAAGCTACTGGAAATGTAATCGATGAGATCAAGATGTATTATGATTGTAGGTATATTTCACCCTGTGAGGTAGCATGGAGGATGTTCGCCTTTGATATACAGATGAGGGATCCGTCGATAGAGCGCTTGAGCTTTCATCTACCAAATGAGCAATCAATCATATTTAATGATGATGATGTTGTCAATAATGTTGTTAACCATTCAACTGTGAGACAAAGTATGTTCACTGCATGGTTTGATGCTAACAGCAAATACAGCGAGGCAAGAAACTTGACTTACGCTGAAATGCCAACAAAATTTGTATGGAAAAAAGATAAGAGAGAGTGGCATCCAAGGCAAAGGAAGTTTGCAATTGGTCGTATTTTTTATCTTCCACCAAATAGCAGAGAAATCTTCTATCTTAGATGTTTATTAAATATTGTGCGTGGACCAAGATCCTTTGATGAAATTAAATATTTTGAGGGGGTGCAATATACTTCATTTAGAGATGTCTGTTATGTACATGGTTTAATCGAGGATGATAAAGAGTATGTTGATGCGATCAGTGAAGCAGCGATATGGTCCTCAGCACATTCTTTACGTAAATTATTTGTAACTTTATTGACATCAAATTCAATGGTGAAACCAGAAAAAGTGTGGGATATTGTTTGGCAATACCTAGCTGATGATGTTGAGTTCAATGCTAAAATAAATACAAGTAATCCAGGTCAACAATTCTTCTTCAAAACACTTACTTAAATGTATTTTTTCATTTATATATTAAACTAATTTGTTTATAAATTATGTAGATTTGATGCTCAATGACGTACAGAAGAAAAATGGGGCACTCATGGAAGTGGAGAAGTTGTTGAATGCTTGGAACAAGTCTCTAAGTGATTATCCACCAATGCCAATGCCAGTGGGAAGTCATGAATACTATTTCGATAATCAGTTGTTGTACGAAGAATTGGAGTACGACAAAGAAGCTTTAAAGCTAGAACATGAATCACTGTTTTCTAAACTAACTGATGAACAATTACTCATATACAACAAAGTGATGGTGGATGTTGAATCTAATAAAGGTGGTTTGTTCTTTGTTTATGGATATGGTGGAACTGGTAAGACATTTTTATGGAGGACACTGTCGGCTGCTTTAAGGTCAAAGGGAGAAGTTGTTTTGAATGTAGCATCAAGCGGTATAGCCTCAGTACTTTTACCGGGTGGAAGGACTGCACACTCAATGTTTTCTATCCCCATTGCAGTGAATGAAGACCCAACTTGCAACATTAGCCAAGGTAGTCCACTTGCTGAATTGATTATAAAATCTAAGTTAATCATATGGGATGAAGCGCCGATGATGCACAAACATTGTTTTGAAGCATTAGATCGGACAATGAGAGACATATTGCGATTCACCAATCCAAAAAGCTTAGAAATGTCTTTTGGTGGAAAAACAGTTGTACTTGGAGGTGATTTTAGACAAATACTACCAGTTATACCAAAAGGCAGTAGACAAGATATAGTACAAGCAAGTATAAACTCATCATACTTGTGGAGTAATTGCGAAGTACTAAGCTTAACAAAGAATATGAGGTTGCGTGGTATTTCAAGTGCAGAAGAAGTTGAAAAGTTAAATAGTTTTGCAAAATGGATTGCTGATCTAGGAGATGGGAATTTAGGAGAAGAGAAGAATGGTATCTTCAATATAAGGATTCTAGATAATTTTGTTCTAAGAAATGAAGTTGACTCCATAGCAGAAATTGTCCAAAGCACATTTCCTTCGTACGGTAGGGTCAACAGGACCGGTCAAAAGGGGCGGGCAACATGGGCACCCGCCTAGGGCCCAATGTTGAAAGGGGTCCCCTAATTTGGATTTTTATTTTTTGATAAAGTTAAGAGAATTTTTTTTTTTTTTTTTTTTTTTTTTTTTTGCATGAGCAGAGATTTGAACCTACAACTTCAAAATTATTATTTAACATTAAATTCACTTAACTATTACAATTATTTAATATAATAATTCAATTAATAGATACTCCGGTCTGTATATATTAGAGAATATCAAATTAGTTTATTATTAAACTTCATATAGGGGCTTAAAGTTTGAATGAGCACTATCCCGGGATTCATCCAACTGAATTTTTTTAAAATAAAGTTTTTAAAAAATTATATGTCGATAAAATTCAAAGTTATTCTTGAATTGTTTTCAATTAACACAATCTTTTGAACTATATATATTAACATTTATTTTATTATAAGAGAAAGGGGATATAGTGATATACCCACATATACAAGCTACTACACCTCCACTAAGGTTCAAACTCACCACATCCAATATAAGGGAGCAACTTGGTACCATTGAACCACAAGGTCCTTGACTATATATATAGACATTTTAACTTTATATATTAAGGGCCCTTGTTTTTATTTTGCCCCGGGCCTATAAAATGATAGGACCGGCCCTGAGGGTCAACTAGATCATAAACATTTGGAGTCTCAAGCTATATTAGCTCCAACATTAGATGGTGTGGACAAGGTGAATGAATACATGAACAGTATGAATGAGGCAACTTCCAAGACATATTTGAGTTGTGATTCGGTTTGCAAGTCAGATACAAATGCTGATATGTTATCGGAGGTTCACACTACAGAGTTCCTTAACAGTTTGGGATGCTCCGGTGTTCCAAACCATTCTTTAACATTAAAGGTTGGATCGCCAATTATGTTGCTCAGAAATATAGACCACTCCTTGGGATTGTGCAATGGTACAAGGTTGATCATTACACAATTAGGAAACCATGTGATTGAAGCTCAAATTCTATGTGGCAACAATGTAGGCACCAAGGTACTAATACCACGATTGGGATTGACTCCTTCTGACCCAAGACAACCGTTTAAATTTCAGAGGAAGCAATTTCCAATAATGTTGTCATATGCTATGACAATAAACAAGAGTCAAGGACAAACTTTATCTAATATCGGACTACTATTAAAGAAACCTGTGTTTAACCATGGACAGTTGTATGTAGCAGCATCTCGAGTTAGTAATCCAGATGGGCTGAAAATCTTAATATGTGGAGACTCTAATGTGGGTTTGAACACTACAGAAAATGTAGTGTACAAAAAAATTTTCAATAATTTGAAATTTTTTACCGATATTTAATGTCATATCATAATGTTATTATTGTTTTGTATATATGTAACAGTTTTTTTAAATTTAGAAATGCTGCCAATTTTGAAAAATAGGGCATATAGCCACTATAATAATAAATAAAATTACTTTCAATTTATTAACATAAATGCAATATTTCTAAATTTATGTCCGTGTATCGCACGAGTGAAATACTAGTTAATATAATGGCTGAGATCAAAATTTACCCTAGATCCAAAGGTTACCGTTTGTGCACATTTTTTACCTGAAAAAAAAAAAAGCTTTGCATTTGATCTCTCTTTTATATATATATATATATATATATATATATATATATATATATATATATACTAGTCTTTTCTATGCGCAAAAACATATGCCCAATATTTATATTTTTAAAAATAACTAACAAATTTTTACTAATTAAAATGTAAATGAAATAAAATTTATTTATTATATTAATCCAATATATAAATGAATATATAATGTCTTAAAAATATTTTTTATCATTAAAGAATATAAGAAAAGATATTGTGGATGCATATGCAAGGTAAAAGTAATGGAAAAGATAACGGAAGTTATAACGGTAAGAGTATTTTTGTCTAAAAAATTGTATAGTACAACTCTAAAAGCACAATGTACAAAATGATTAGCATTAAAAAGATGGACATAAATGAGAGATATAACTTTGATTGAGACTTATTATGTTATATATACTAGTTTTTTATGCGCATTGCGCGATTGGTATAATGCCCAATGTTTTTTTTTAAAAAATAAGTACTTTAAAGTATATCAAGGCAAGATTATATTGGAAGTGTTCATGCATAAATAATTGAATGTTGAATTTGAGTATTTAAATAGGTAATTCTAAATTTACAAATGCAAGATAATATAGTCAAGATTATTATAATTGTCAGTAAAATAATTGTATAGGTATGGTTGAAACCTAATACGGGACATAAGGGAGAGCAAATAAAAATTAGGGCATAAAATATTAAATATATACTAATATTGAAGAGTTAACTGCTTATTGCCAAACAAAGACATTGCGATGTAGTTTCTCTCTTCAATTTGTTGTGTGGTTTGAATACTCTTTTTGTTAATAAATCCCTCAAGTAGTTAATATGATTGACTTAATTATTTTTTTTTATTTTTTTTTATTTTTAAAAAAAAAATTATTATTATTAAATATATGTATACCCTTAGGTCATTTTACATGTTAATCTAAACAGCTAATTTTTTTTAAATATCTTTTTACCAACCATTGATATAATTCACAGGTCAAATCCGCTAGCGCTAACCGCTAACTGCTGATTGTCAAACAAGGACATCGCGAGATATTTCTCACTTCAATTTGTTGTGTGATTTGAATCCTCTCTTTGTCAACGAATCTCTCAAGTAGTTAATATGATTGGCTTTATTAATTATATATTTTTTTAAATTTTTTTCACGGTATTACTAAAATACTTGGTAAATAAATATATAACATTATTTTGTATTATAACTTTGATATTTAATTAAAAATAGTGCACAAAAAAAGATAATAGACGATGTAGTGAATATAATCAATTGATGAATTTGAATGTAAATAATTTTTACATTGGAGAAAAATAAAGACAATATAACTAATAAAATTACTTCTCTTAATTAATTTATTGATAATGAATAATTTTATTTTATTTTTAATAAAGACATTGTAGGGACAATGTAGCGAATATAATCAATTGATGAATTTGAATGTAAAGAATTTTTATATTGGAGAAAAATAAAGACAATATAACTAATAAAATTATTTCTCTTATTTAATTTATTGATAATGAATAATTTTTTTTTGAATAAAGACATTGTAGACACATAATTCTAAATTAAAGAAATGCATATGTATTATTTTTTGTTGTAGCTACTAAATTATTATTTTAATTTAATAAGAGTAAAATAGAGTACTAATTATGCCTACTTTGATTGGGATATGGTTCGAACCTAAGACATTTCATATTGAAATCAATGAGTAAGTTAACGGTGAACTAACAGAAATTAACGAAAAAGATAATATTTAACGGAAAAGTTAACGGATAATCATATTCATTAAGGATAAATTAGGAAATCTTAAGGAAAAATTAAAATCTGATCAATCTGAGCCATTCATTTGATTAAAAATTTTGACCACCATTTTTTCTACCCATTATAGGCCTAACTCTCTTGGGCTCTTATTAGTGTACTAGTTTTTTACGCGCATTACGCGATTGGGATAATGCCCAATGCTTTTTTTTTTAAATAAGTACTTTAAAGTATATTAAGGCAAGATTATATTGAAATTGTTCATGCATAGGTAATTCTTCTCCCAAAGGTTGAGTCCCCAACCCCAAGGGCCCCCCCACACTCCGACCCGACAGAACATTGTGGGAAGTTGTAAATCACGGTGACTCAATGGTTCAGCAGACAGGGCCAAATGCTGGTACGCACAAGGAATCTGCCCACTTTGGACATAATTCCCGCATTGCCGGCGCCGAGGTTCAAACCTTGGTCTCTTCTCCCAAATACTACCCACTAAACCACTGAGCTAAGCCCGTGCGGGTTAAATAGGTAATTCTAAGTTTACAAATGCAAGATAATATAGTCAATATTGATTATGATTGTCAATAAAATAATTGTATAGGTATGGTTGAAACCAAATACGAGACATAAGGGAGAACAAATAAAAATTAGGGCATAAAATATGAAATATATACTAATATTGTTTGAGGAGATTCCGACATTAGGATTTGTGGTTAAGTTCTATTAAGACTTTAATATTAGAATTAGATTAATGATGTAGTTATAATTCTATATTAGACTTTAATATTAGAATTAGACTAACAGTGAATTAACGGAAAAGTGAAATGGATAATCATATAATTAAGGATAAATTAGAAAATCTTAAAAGAAAAAAATTAAAACCTGAACAATATGAACCATTCATTTGATTTAATAATTTGGCGGTCATTTTTTCTACCCAATGTTAATAATTAAATAAATTCGCTGGTCAAATCCGCTAACTGCTGATTGTCAAACAAGGACATTGCGAGGTAGTTCTCACTTCAATTTGTTGTGTGATTTGAATACTCTCTTTGTCACAAAATCTCTCAAGTAGTTAATAACTTAATATGGTTGGCTTTATTAATTATATTTTTTTAATTTTTCCATGGTATTAATAAAATACTTGGTAAATAAATATATATCATTATTTTATGTTATAACTTTGATATTTAATTAGAAAAATAGTGCACAAAAAAGATAATAGATAATGTAGTGAATATAATCAATTGATGAATTTGAATGTAAAAATTTTTACATTTGAGAAAAATAAAGACAATATAACTAATGGGGAAAATGGCACTTTTCCCCCCTAAGTTATATATTTATAGCACTTTTTTCCCCTCAATTATTTATGTAAGCACATTAGCCCCCTCAATTATTTTAAAAGTGGTGATTTTTCCCCCTAATATATTAAAATGACATTTCTACCCTTAATGTAAACATTTTATTTATTTTACTTCTCCAACTAATTATTGCGTATATGTAGCGATTACCACGATTCGGTTCGAACTGAACCAGACACTATAGCAATCGAATTAAAAGTTTTCGGTTATGATTCAGATCTAGAACCCAATATTTGGATTTCAATTTATTAAATTTAAGAATTAAAAAAAAAA